GGCAGTATCTCTTTTATATTCACAATATTGTGCTAGTTATTAGTAGTGTCAAAATAATTTTAGTTATTCTTTTTAAAATTTATGAATAGAGTATCATCATAATTAAAAACGGTGTAATTAATAATGGGAAAAATCGCCAACGAAGGTGGCAAATTTCCTTTAGGGTATAGGCATAGGTTTTCGAGGGGGGTTTGCATCCAATGAAAATCCTGTCATGTAGACGCTGATAGATACAGACAGAAGATATTGAAATGGTTGAAATAAAATTCCTATTTTTATCGTACGAGAAATGCTTCTCACTTCTATAAGAGGAAAAATGTTTGAGAGTAAAAGTTCTATAATAAAAGATTTTCAAAGTGTGGATATTGATGATATCCTGAACTTGATTATTAAAGCAGAAAGTTATGATTTCCCACAATAAAATACCGTAAATTGGTTTTCATTTTACTACGAAAAAAAAGAAACTAAATTGATTGTAGAGCTTTTTGAATTGATATAGAATTAACGGGCTCTCCAATACGTTTAAAAACTTTAAATATTCTTCCACATCCCATTCATAAAAAGTTTTAAATTTTGTTTCCCGATTTTATTAAAAACCACTTATGAGAGATATAGATGTTATTATTGATATAAATTTTTATTTATTATAATATAAATATTTTTATGCAAGTTTTTATGTTCTGTTTAAAGATATTTATAAGTAAGCAATTAGTAGCGGCTTGATATGTCTGCAAAGGGATGGCAGCAGGACGCTCAGATCTAGGCATGACTTAGGTTTATGAGAGAGACTGTCAATGGAGTGTTTAGCGAATTGGTATTTTATATTTTTTATTTGGATAGAGACTGTCAATTTTTATTATAATATATATTTATGAAATGTAATTTTTGAGAGCGTCAGTGACCTATTTGCCAAGAGCTTCGCCTGCTGCTAATCCAATGTTTCGGGATTTGAATCCAGCAAGTACCATATTGATTTTCTGAAGGCAATTTGTTAATTTTGCCCTAGCGGGGATGATGTATAGTAGGAGACGATCGTGTGATTCCACCCCTTAGTGAATTTATTTACATTTTAAAAAATATTTGGCAATGTTTAGTAAATTAGATTGTGTTTTTAGACCTACCCTATGTTGACTTGGTAGTATTTAACATTAACCCCATATCTCATCCCCATTTTAGAATGATTATATTTCTTTCAAATATTAGTAAATTTTTTTCGACATTTATTAAGGTAACCATAAATGAATTATAAATAAAAATTTTGAAATTTAATATTAAATAAAACTATTTTGATAATTTTTATAAAGAGTGTCAAAAATTATATAATAAATAAAATAACATGTAAACTGCATATGTGATAACATATTTAGAAAAAAATTAAATAAATAAAATTGTGTTAAAATAATCATCCTCCTCTGGAGATGGACATGAATCTTTAAATAATTTAAAATCATAACGTAATATTTCGAAACTAATTTTTTGTTTAATAAGAAGAGCCCTTGAGATTGATGCTTTATGGCTCTTATGGCTAATTACTTTGATTAGGGATTTGGCCTCTTTTTAAATGAGCAGTTTGTGGAAGCTACAATTGGTATAAATATATTGTTGTTGGCTAGATATAAATATTTGGAATTTCCCTTTTCTCCGTTATACCTAACGGATAGTATTTATTATTTGATGGGGCGAAAATATCTATACATGTGAAGTCCCAATACATATGACCTTGTTCTCAGTTAATAACGTATTTTATAGTTTAACAGTTAGATATTATTTTTTTTACCTCTAAAAAATGTATCGATATTAAATTAATATTTAATAAAAATGAATGAAACTTTGCAGAAACTACCTGATCAAAACATCGACAGCCTTTATGATAGCAATAATTAAAATCTGGAGTGTTGCATGCCATGTTCCAGTATATCATACAGTGGATAAAAACAAAATCACTATCTAAAAACATAACACGATTTATAATTACATAAACATTTTAATATAAACAATGCTTCCTCATAACTTGAATTTTTCTCTCTCGGTACCTTTGCTTTCATAGCTAAAAACAAAGCACCTGGTAAATGTTGTATTAAGCAAGTATTTTTACTCAGGAGCGTCGCTAGCCTTCACAATCTCAGGGGGCTCAACTAAAAAAAATTTTATGGGGGGCTTCGCCCCCATACCCTTTCAATTGCCCGGCTTTCGGCCGGGTTTTATATTAATATATTATACTTTTTTAAAATTTGTTAACTCTGAACAATTATTCTGATTTTCATATTTTGTCATTTATTATATTATGCACACAGAATAAACTGGCATATAAAAACCACATAATGCAATAATATAATTCTTAGCAATTTACATTGACAAAAGTTATCAAACTAGTATAACTCTCTGTTGCCATTTTAGATAATGTTTTATAGAATGGGCTAATAAAGAAAAATTTATAGACCTATACCCAATCAACAATTTTTGAAGGAGAGAGTATAAACGACCAATCCAAATCATAAAACTATATGGTGGTTAGAGCTTCCTCTTAGATGACATGATGGAAACTAGATAAGTAATCGAGAAAATTATTGTGAGATATTAATTTATAAAAGATTATCTTCCATTTTAAATGATATATAAACCACTACACAGTTGACCATTATTGTTTATCTAAAATATGCAATTATATGCTCTAAGCTGTTATAGTAATAATCTTAAATTACATAGCAACACAAATAATAGATGCTGGTTAATTTGCAGTAATAGCCAAGAAATTCACGATGTATACTAATATCAGAATTTATTATGTTGGATAAATTGATAAAATAAAAACACTAAAAATCTTTGAAAGAAATAATTATGCAAATATATTGAAGCCTGGAGGGATTTCACGGCAATGCCATATTAGAAATGAAACATTTTCTAACTATAAAATAAGGACCAGAATGATATGATGAAACAATTAAGATTTTATATATTTTACCACCACCTTGGTATATTATATCTTAAAATAATAGTAGTTTGTAATAATATCAAAAATATACTTGTATTAAATATTTAACTCAAGACTGTTTTTCGAAAAAGAAAAAAATATCTTTCCTAAAAACATGTAAAAAAAGAAGAAAAGATATCAAATTTATTACATCTATTGCTGGATGAATAATAAAATGTTTAATTTTTAAAATTATATATATTTAAATAGATGACACTAAATACTTAAATGCAATTTGTTATATATTTATTATCAAAACCATTTATTAGCAAACTATTATAATATTAACTGTAATATATTATATAACTGTCAAATAAGTTTATAAAAGTGGCATTATATCTAATATTTTATAAAAAACTGTATATAGTAGAAGATTATAAACTATATGTCTATTTACTTTTTATAAAGAAATCTCTTATACTTATTTGGACCTTGAAAATATTTTTAAGGTATGATTGGTTAAATAATAATAAATAATAAAAGTCAATTAAACTTCAGCTGTTAAAGCTAAACTAATATTTAGTGAGTTATTGATATTATATTTTTAATACAGAATTTGATTGCAAGCTGACATAGTGAAAATATAATTTATATGTATTAATCTAATCTAATAATTAAAATAATATTGATTTAATAAAAATTTAAATAGTCTTATTAATTTCTAAATAATAAAATTATATCTAATATTACTTAATGAAATTATAAAAGAAATCATTCAGTGGGCAAACAAAAAAATTTATATTTAGTTCAAGTGGATATTAAGGAGCCATTAAAAAAAAATTTTTTGCTTCAGGGGGCTATTCAAATTTTTCAGGAGGCTCGAGCCCCTGCGTCCCCCCCCCCCCTAGCGTCGCCACTGTTTTTACTATCATAATATATTTAATAATCTTCTAATTTGTCTATGGACTTTGTTTTATTATTATTGTCACATATTGGTTTATTCATATTTTAGAGATTTTATTATTAAAATTTTTAATTTTTTTTGCATTTTTTCATTTTAATCATCTCTTACGTATTTTAGAATTAAATAAACATACCATTCCAAAATCCTCTTTTATCTATTTCGACCATGTTCCAGTAGCTAAAATCTTATCTAAAATTTGTCTGAAAAATATCTAAAAAAATCTCTGAAGTAGCTTTGCTGCCACCATAAAGTTTTCTATATTTAATATGCAATTGTCTATAGTGTTTACTGGTGATAGGTATAACAAATTTAGGAGATAGTATTCATCAATTTAAATTACAATCATATAAGATATTTTAAATTATATTTTATTTAAAAATTATTTTTTGCTAAAAATAATATTTTCAATCTTATATAGCTTGTAAAAATCAATTTATATAAACGAATCAATTTAATAATTTATATAAACGAAAAATCAATTTAATAATTTACATAAACGAAAAATCAATTTAATAATTTATACAAACGAAAATCAATTTAAAGTCCGCAAGGTTAGTTTAACGAAAAAGAATATATAAAAAAAATTAATCAGGTCATCTCAACAGCGGTCTATACAAAATTAATTGCTAGTTATTTATTGATCAATTAATAAACACATATAAACTTAACTTTTTATTTTAATGGATGTTTATATAAACATAACAATATCATCTAATCCTAAAGACTTCTAAATCTAATGGATACTCGATTTCAGAGCCATGATAACTATTGCAGTTACAATATATTAGACAAATTTTACTCAAAAATAATTTGCTACTTTTTATAATATAGGTTGTATAAAAGATAAAATGATAATATCTCAAATATATATCATAAGTTATATATGAGTGTTAAGAAATAGAAATAAATACTATATGATTCAATTTATTTTAAAAATATTATAAATATTTTGTTTTATTTTTTTTTTAAATTAGTTAGAAAATTAGAATTTATCTAATTTCAACACATTAAACTATTTTAGTCCTCTTCCATTTAAATATATTTGTCATTGACATCATAATGTTTTAGGCCGCTACACAGTATTTAAAAGCATCTATTCTATTTTCGAAATTATTGGACTCAGCAAAATAACTTAAGAGGCATGGCCTTAATTCTCGATTTAATTATAAAAATTTATTATTTCAATTATTATATTATGATAAAGAATGATTAAAATTTCGAAATGTTTAAAATTATTCTCAATATTATATGCTCTACTGATATTCTACATTATTTACTATATAGTAACTCATAATATTTCAGGTACACTTATTTTATCATGTTTTACAATTGAAAATATAAATTACAATCAAAAGCTTTATGAAGTATTTTATATAATTTCATAATTATAATTTTTTATTTTTGCATTTATATAATATTATATTTGCATAATATAACTACCAGGGTTATATTGATCCACTTTTTTGACCTATCCAATATGAACTATAACTGATCCAATACTTATTTTTAATTAATTTATAATTTTTATCTTTTTTTATCCTTCATTTATTTCAAAGATATATTGTCATGGATAATTTCGATCTAAAAGATGACTAATGTCTTAATGGCCATTTTTTATAAGTCTAATTATTGAGGATAAAATTTAAATTAAAGGTTGGGGCAACTTGACCTGGTCTGTGGGAATTCTATTTGGTTTTTGGTCTGGCATAGCCTGTAATTATTTGCACATAAAATATATTTTGTAGCCTGTAGTAATTTATATAAAGGCAAACGACAGAAACTTGCCTAAATATTAGCTTTAAAAATATTATTAAAACTGGCCTGGCCATAAAATATTTTGCACAATTTATACACATAGGCTGCACTGACTCACATGTAAATTAGGTATTGAATAAATATCTATTAGTTATCTTTCATAAATAATAATATATTCCAAAATCTAGAAAATATAGAAAATGTTTTATATCAAATAAATATAGTAAATATTTGGCCAAACTCATGAAAATGTAAAAAATAAAATTTATTCATAAAAATATTTGGCCAAAATAACAAAAATGTAAAATTTTAAAAATTTTCTATATTTTTTTTAACATTTTTGTGATCTTAACTAATAAGTTCAATAAAATGTCATTTTTAAAGCTAAAAAAATGTAGGTCATTTTTAAAAATAGCAAATAAAAAAAATAATTTTTGAGCCCCCTGAGATCAAGGATCCAAACCAAAGTGAAAACTTTATTAATCGTACACAGAATAATTTACAAAATCACTTTTATTGAATTAAAAAAAATAAATCTTCACAAATCTATATAAAAATTAATGCATGAATCTATCAATTAAATTCCAAATCAATAATAATATAACTCGATACAATATTCCAATAATCATGAATCATCAACATTCATGATTTTAATTCCACAAATTTGTAACTGAAGAATAAATATTATTTTTTCAATAAAAACATATTATAAAAAGAATAATAATATGATTGACATTTCTTGAAATTGAATTAACATTTTTTATTTTTCTCTTTAATTAAACATCTTCAACAAAAACCAGTATTTTTTATCACACCTAAACCCAACTTAAACTGCTAAAAAATTTCTAGCCCAACCGAACGCTAAAATTCCTCTGAACCGGTTCGAGCCTAATTATTTTATGATTATAAAATAATGTGTAAGTTAATACTAGTCTATTGCTAAAATTTTAATTGTATTCGAATTCTTTTAAAGCTTATTATCAATCACATTTGACTGATAAGTGTCATATATAATTTTTATAAACTTTAGTATATTGCCATTTTACAACATTTTTTAAGTATTTTAAGCTTATAAATTATAATGCCTAGAGGAAAATTAAATCCAATATATAAATTATTTACATATAGTTTTATAAATGACACATCAAATGTGATATCATACTGGCAATGCCAGCTACCCAAGTTAGTGTGGAAAGATCTTTTTCAACATTTAAGTATATATTATCTCCTTATAGATGTAATTTGAGTGATACAAATTTTGGAAATATATTAATTGTGCGGCTTAATAAAAATTTTTGAGTAAATAAAGTTAAATATTGTTTATATTAAAATAAATCATTGATATTTATTTGTTACATTTATAAATTAAATATTATTTTATAATGTGCAATTAATAAAAATGAAGGTTGTATGTGTTATTTATTTTAATTATGAAATAAAAATTCTTACCTAAACATAATGTAGGTTTGAATAGAAAAGGGTTCAAACCGGTTTTTAGCGGTTCGAACCTAACTGATATTTTTATTTTTCACGAACCGAATCTGAATCTTGAACCGTTATTTTTATCCGAACCTGATGAACCCAACTGATATTTGTTTCGGCTTATATTCCTGCCTGAGATAAAAGCGATATACACCACTGTTTGCCATCCATGAAAAATGAATATTTTTCTGAATGCAGAAATAATTATTTTTTTGATTCTATATTTTCTTAGAGTTATAATTATATGTTTTAAATTTATAAATTATCTAACAATTATTTTTACCAATAAAAAACATTTTATTTCATAATTTTTTTCCCACAAATTTTAATTAATGGCCCAGATGAGCCCGGAATCGGCTATAAAATGGTGTCATCTTAAAAATTTGGACAAGACCTAAATTGGAAAAAAATCAGGCAGGGCTAGGCATAAAATTGAAGATCACTATAAACAAATGGTTAATTCAGCCCACTAAACCTCCCTAACCCCCTCCCCCACTCTTGGTGTAAATGCTTTTATTATGAAATGGATACTTTATGTATTAAATAGGAGGGTATCTTCTGCATTATTCCTCTAAAATTTTAATGACACAGCTTAACCCCCTCTCATTTCCTTGTGTTAGATGGCTCTGGTCTGAATTGATTAAAAAGATGAACGAATATTTACTTATATTAATTACGTTAAAATCTATGAATAATTTTAGACGAAATAAAAAAAATGAGCAATGCTTATATTAAAATAGTGAAACGCAATCCGAAATACTTTTTAAAATTTATTATATAATATTTCTCTTTAAATCTTGCAAATTGTTTTTATTATATTTAATTTCATAGAATTCTAAATCCAAACAAAAGTTTTTTAAAAAAGTATAGGAATTCTTTTTTCAAAAAAATATCCTCTATTAGAACTCCAAACAAAGGAATTAAGTTTTAATTAACGTTGCTTTTATCTTATGCATCCTTATGAATGGAAATTTTAAAATTTTGTATAGGAATGTATTTGATTCTGGGCCTTAAGAAATTATTACCTTACTGACTTTTCGATAGCAGGTATAAATGTTCGTCATTGAACCTGCAAATATTGTTGAAAAAGTTAACCCCACATACTGTAGACAGATAACTTAATAAATGCTGTAGAATGCGGTATTGCTTCAGCTACTCTCGAAAAATCATGATTTTGATATAGGCACCTGTGATTCGATATAACATTGTAGTAAAGATGTTATTTTCAATTGTTTTGTTCTTTTTGATGGAAAGATTATTAAAACTAAATATGCAAAATATTTTATAAAAACGAAACAAGTATATTTTTTTAAAGCCATTAATGGATGATTGTTTAATTGAATTTTATGTCGATTTTCTTGAACTTAATAATGAAGCCATTATTGCATTATTATGGATGAAAGACACAAATACACACTTTGTTTTAGATTATTTATTATATATATATAGATCTGCGCGCGGACATACATAATCGGCCGTAGAGAGGCGCTCTGATTTTACACCAAAAATCATAAATATTTTAAAAATGATCAGAAGAAAATTTTTCTCAAAATTAATTCAACATTGTTTTAATATCTATCAATTATTTTTTTCAAAGCATAAATTACGAAGACTTTATCTGTAAGTGCGCGTTTCTTTTATGTAGGGTCAGAGTTTTAAAATGTTTCATGCTAAAGAAGCTTTGTTGGGCTATACTATCTTGTATTTTATTATAGGAATTTGTAATGCATCATCCATTATATTTTATTTAAATCTTGCTAGCAATAAAAATATGGTCAAAAAATATTTATAAATATATAAAAATTTATATTTTTTTTATAAATTTTATATTTTTATTTTATAAATGAACTAAAGTATAATTTTATATATAATATTTTAATATATTATTTTTATTCCCAATACTAAAAAATGCTGTCGCCGCCACTTCCACCAATCACTACTTTGGCGGTCGTGGTTACTTTGGCATTGCGCGGCGACGCTTGGGTATATTTATATATGTTATTTTATATATATCAATAAAACAATTTGAACGAATATTTAAAAAAAATTCGATTTTATTGATTTTTGATTGACATTTCTATAGTATATTTTGGAAATTAAAATCCGAAATAATTTTGTTTTATTTTTTTTAAAAATTTCATATTTTTTTAAAACAATAATTAAGTATCAGCAGTTTAGAATTTTAACAAACAATATCTTCATTTTCGATTTATTCAAAACAAAAGTACATTCACCTCAATTCATTTGCATCATATTAAGCACATCAATACGTTGTATGAAACAACAGAGCTACGTAGCGCATCACCTTGAATAAAAAGTTTTGACTAGGGATGGTTGGCTAAGTTAATTTTAAGTTATTTAACAATATGATTTATAATGTATGAAAAAATATGATATGATTAAAGATACCAAAGCAGATATGCAATAACAAGCCTGGATTAATCTAAATTATGGAGTTCATTGTTGTAATGCAATCATTTTCCATATAAAGATAGAGTACAATACAATAAATTTGTGACCATTTGTAGGTTTTAGTCTCTTGTTATATCAATTAGAGGTCCTCAGTGGGCAGATTTTAGGTTGAATGCCCGCCCGCTCATCCTTGAATTTAAAATCTACCCATAAATGCCCAATCTTCAAATAAAAAATTCAAAAGTTGGAATAAAAGGATACTGATTAAATCAGTGCCAAATGTAAGCACTTATATAATTGCTCAGAGACTAATTAAATTTAATATTGTTTGCATTTACATATTACTTTACAAATATATAGTTTTGATATCATTCTTATAAATAATTATAATTAGATACTAAGTATTTTTAAAACGCTGATTTAAAAATATTTAAAAAAATATATTTATCAGAGTTGGATAGGTCCTCCAGAAAAGAAATCTAGATACAGATACATATTCTTGTAAAAAAAGATGGATCTTAGATATAGATACTAATATCTTATTCAGAATATCAAAAAGATACAAGATAAAGGTACATATATCTTTTGCCAAATTAGAGTATCTTAATTACAAGATACTTTTATAAATTATCATTACCAATTTAGAATAGTTT